TTGCTTTTGCTGTAGTGTAGATTCAATTTTATAATTTAATTTTCTTTTTGAATTCAACTTTGTATTCTACTCTTCTGAATAATTATTATTTTGCATTTTTTGTTATTTATATGAACTGAAATTTGGCTCTATATAATCTGTTTAAATTCATAGATGTAAAAACAGATCTCACAGCAAGTACATACATCTGTTAATTGTGTGTGTGATCTCTATTAATTTTAATACTATGATAAAATAAATTTTAATACTATGATAAAATAAATTTTAATACTATAATAAATTTGTAGACTTGTGGGTTAGAAGATGGCGTTGATCTATTAGTGACAAAATAATGAAGAAGAAAAACTTTAGCCATGGTGGCATTTATTCAGCACAATTTCATAATTAAACAGGTTCATGTATTGTCATAGGTGCATAATGCATCCGCACAATTTTAAAAGCTTACATTCTCAGACAGTGGAGACAAAGCAGATCGGCAAGCATGCATCAAAGCAGCAAGTGTGTGACTCCCATAAGCATTGCACAAATCAGACACACGCATGTGTGAAACTGTCAATTTTTCACTTGTACTGTAATATATTGTTGCAGTTTTATGTCATTAGCTTTAATTTCTAATTTTAATACCACCCCTCATGTAATGGCAAAGTTGAGCACCTTCATCGAACATTAAAAACAGCATTAAAAGCCCACAACAACATATCTTGGACGGACACGTTACCAACAGTACTTTTGGGTTTGCGTACTGCTATTCAAGAAGATATCAATCATTCTATTGCGCAAGTAGTTTATGGCCAGAGTCTCAGACTTCCCAGACTTCCTGGCGAGTTTTTCAGCGAACCAAGTATCCAGACAGCATCGGAGACTTTTGCTAATAAACTCCAGAAACAGATGGAAGTTGTTGGACCGAGACTAATTCGTAAAAATTCATCTGAACAGATATTTGTACCATAAAGACTTAAAAACTTGTTCTCATGTGTTTCAGCGAATAGATCGGGTAAAAAAACCTTTGGAACCTCCTTATGAAGGACCATTTCCTGTTATTGATCGCAAGGACAAATATTTTACTATTAGCATAAAAGGAAAACATGTTAATGTATCCTGGATCGCTTGAAACCAGCATATATTTTAGCTGAGGAAAATTCTCAGTTGATACAACCTGACTACATTAACTTGCACAGACCGGACTCCAATTCCGATATGAATCAAAAACATTCTCGCACAAGCAGAACTATACTTTTACCTGTTAGATTCAAAAACTGACTAAATTATTCTGATAGTGGTTAACACTGCAATGCTAGTTACTACCTATTTCTCCATCTTCGTAACGTAACTTAGTTACTGGTGGGGGAGTAGTGTAGTGGCCCAGTTATTGCATGAGAAATAATTATTTTTTATTTCATATGTTTGTTCATGTGTTTAATTATTTTATAAAATTAACTTTAATATTTTGTTAATATTCATATTTATATTTCTTTTATGCTGAATGGCAATAAGTAGTTCATGTTTATATTTAAATTTCTTTATGCTGAATGGCAACTAGTTCTAGTTCTGATTCATGATTGCTAGGTTTTGGTTTCAAAACGTTGCTCATAGCGTCGCATTTCGATAGCTGGAAAATAAAATGCAATAACTTAGCTATTTGTTTATAATTCATGCTGTTCCTAGTCATAAATTAATTTTAAACATTAGTAGCCAAGGCTACAACTCCAAGTGATTTTGGTCTGTTCTAGAATGTTCTCACTCTGGGCGATTTCATGTCAAATCTGGCAACCCTGCTTCTCCTTGCAATTTTCTGGTAACCCTGAGCCCACTTTGCTTCAGAGCTATCTTGCTGCAGCTGGGCATTTTGTAAGAATATTGATTTTGGGAAATCCATGTTGCACAAATGGCATTATGTGTGATGTAGATAAATAAGGTGTACTCCTCGTCTTTTTCATTAGAAGAGATTGTATAATTATACCTATGAACTAATATCTAATATGAAAAAATGCAGGAATCCATTTTGTAAAATATACTAAATGTGCATTATATACACAATGCTCTGTATCTCTATGAGCACAACTATCTGTAAATTGTAGTCAGACTCTTTACCTGTTCATGTTGTGTCCATGCCACATGGAACAATGGTTGCCAAAGCCTACTGCAAAAAGAGATTGGACTTCTGTTTTCCACCCCAATTTTCAGGGACCCTTCCACCCCCGAGGGGGTACAGGCTTTTCCCACCCCTCTCCCTTCCACCAAACAACACGAGAGGACTTTCGGCTCACCGCATATTTAGAGTGCCCCCATGCCGCACGGACACTATACATTTACAAACATCCATGCCTTCTCCGAGATTCGAACCTGTGCCCTTTTTTACTGCAGCAAGCTCCACACAAAGATATACAACTTAATGTACGGTTGTAACATCTCTATGAAGAATCTGACTTAACAAGGTCAGTAATAGGTGGGAAAACATATCTTTCTTGTGTTTTGTGAGATGGAAATCAAGGTCAAAGTACAGAGGATATTGAAGAAAAAGTAACCTGAGGCTTGAATTAAGGGTGAGACCTCACAATAAGGTGGAACAATGGTCACTGTAGAAGTTTTATTTATAAACGTGTAAATAAATTCCATTTGCAGCTAAAGATGATCATATGTTACCCAATATACTTCATTGCCATAATTGTACCATCTTCACTTTTGTGCTTGTTTTGAAGGAAAGGGAATATTTTCTTTAGCAGTATATAAAGTTCAAGCAATGGATTTCATTTATCGAAAATAAAATGTGTGATAAATTTTTTTGATTCCCTGCAGGTTACATGCTGCTATTTCGAAGAAGGATATGCAGATACCGATATTTATGTTTTGGATGACCTATGCTATGGTCATGAAATCACAGGACCTGCAATTATTATCGATGCTAATTGGTATGTGTAGCAGTGCATCTTTGGAATGTATATTTTTTGTTCATTTCTTTATTTGTTAAATTATTTATGTTTACTATATATTTTAATTAGCATTTGATTGTATTTACTGTGATTTCTTCTTATTAGTACTATCCTTGTTGAACCATACTGTGTAGCATCTGTGACAAAAGATGGTAGTATTTTTATAAAGGTTAGTGGTTGACTTTATTAATTTATACCAAATGAATCTCATTTAAATCACTGTTAAAATATAAATAAGCTTATTTTTATAAATATGATTTATATGTATGTAATGGGATAGAAATCTGATGTAATGGGATAGAAATGTCTTCAATTTAATGTTCTTTTTGTGATGTAATGGGATAGAAATGTCTTCAATTTAATGTTCTTTTTGTGATGTAATGGGATAGAAATGTCTTCAATTTAATGTTCTTTTTGTGATGTAATGGGATAGAAATGTTTTAACTGAAGAAGTAGAGAGGATTTCAATGGGTCCTCTGTATTTCAAGCCTCTTCTCAATATGCAAGTTTCTGATTGTATTTTGCTGCTAATTATGAGCATATAAATTACAGTTGTAGTTTACTTGCATGTAATCCGTTTGAAATGCGTCATACTATTCTGCATTAATTATATGCTTATGGTGGAGTATTTGCATTCCAGCTAGAATATTTATATTTTAACATTTGCTTGCAGTACTACAGTACTGTTCCTGCTTGTTCGTGGTCGATATTTGATGTCGGCTTGTCATCATATATTTAATTTTTTAATTTTAAATGAAAATTTTATGGTTTACGAAAGTCATCAGCCTTCCTTTCTATGAATCTTCTGACAAGTTCAGACATACTTTATAGCACTTTTATGCAACATAATCTTCTTTTAGCATTCATCACATATTTCGAAATATCTCAAAAGGTGATGGCAGGCATTGAAAAGAGCCCACTAACAATCATTTTGGCAGAAACCAGTAAACAGTGGTATTGTATACAGATATTAAGTATTTAATTGTAGGTCACCTTCTAAACAACCAATTGGTTTTCTTCATGTGTGATGTGAATATTAAAAAGCCAGTTTTCCTTGATCCTTCATGAAGACATCTGTCTTCTTAGCCATCATGGGCTTTGTCATAATCTGCATGTATAAAGAAGAAGGTATGCTTGTTTGTCTTTTAATAACTCATCCACTACTACAGCTATCGTCGGCAAACTTTCTAAGATTCTTTTCTGGGTCTTGGAAAAGGTTGATGTCCACTTTTTTCCAAAACAAAGTAGCTAAAATAAGAGATATTGATTAAAAACTCGGAAAAACGGTCTTTTTTGTCCTCATTTTTTCGAATGGCAACAATTTTGGAAGCTTGAGATGAAAATCTCCTTTATTTCGAAAGTTGTTGCCGCTGTTCGCTTTCAAATTGTAGAGTTTGTTAATAAAAAATTTCTGAGTTTTACCATGATATAAAAGTAGCATTACCGAACATTAAATGCATTATTTCCGATTACAAAAATTTGTGAGAAGCAATTGCGATTGCGTATGACTTTATTCAGCCAAGATATTAATTAAAAATTCCAAAAATTTAATTAATTTTTGCACTGATTTTCCTAAGTGGCAACAGTTTGCACGTTGGAGATAAAAATGCTTTATTTCAAAAAGTGTTGCTACTACTTGCTTTTAAATCCTAGACTTTGTTATTCAAAGTTTTGTAAGTTTTGCAAAATCTCTCTATATATAGATATATATAAGGAAGAATGTTTGTTTGCGTTATTGATTTCTGATCAATTGTAATCCATTTTTTGTCACATTTAATTGACTCAAATTGAATCTATTTGAAATATTGGATGGAACTTGAGCTTTTACGACCATTTGATTAGAAAGATGAAAATCATTAAAGGCAGCATGCCATTGTTGCAGATATGAGAGAGAATTAGTTTATTTTTCTATCGAAATTTTTTATGTGGGTTCAATGTCGCATCAGACTGGAAAATGTATGACTAGGAATTGTATTTTTTGCATCGTTATTAGAGAAGGATTACAGTGGTATCGTTCTCTTTGTTGTTAGGTACATTACTCTCAATCTAACTTAACTAGCATCGGATACTTCTGATAGTATTCAAATAAACCGAAACATCTAAAAACCAGAAAGTAGTGATACAGTTGAATCTATAGCCCTTCTCTTTTTGTGTCATAACTGGTTATTGTCTATAATGACTTTTGTTATTCCAACATCCTTTCAACAATGCTAGATTGGTAATTTTACTTTTTCATTGTTCTAAGCCATTGTATAAATCTTTCAAGAAATTTGCTTATTGCAGGGCTAACTATGAATGGTAAAGATAGTAGTATGATTATCAATTTCTGATTGTGCTCCCAATAATGATTTAGCAATTATTAATAATTTTGCAGAAGTGGTGGAAAGAGATAGGAGAAGAGAAGATATATAACACTGGGTATCATTGTCCTCTCCTCCTACTTTCATCATCATCTTTATACTATTATTGGAGATTATTACATCTGCATTCCATGTTTAATTTGAACTTGCTGAAAAATGAAAAAAATATGCTATTATCTTTTATTTTTTATGCCAAATAACTTCTGAGAATTATGAAGTGATATGGAACAAAGTATGGTGCGATAGTAAAACTGTTTATCTGACATCATTATTTATCTGTATCGAAATAACAATAGGGGTTTTATTATGGAGCTCTTGGTATATAAAAGAAAATTATTTTGATAAGATACATATTTAATTCATAAGTAAAATATTGCTTCAGTTGTGCCATTTGACTTTCAGTTGCATTGCATAAATAAAATATTTGTAAAAGAAGTTGTAAATTTCATTGAATAGTAAATTTCATGAATTTCACACAATATAGGTGAGGTAAATATTTATTGAAATAAAATTTAATAACTTTTTAAAACTGAGCATCTAACATTGGTTGAGAGGATAAGACTGCAGAATGTTGATAATTTAGTCTGGATTTGTATTTTGGTGAATGGTTTGGCTGCATGGGTATTTTGTGGTTTCCTCATGAGTAACATAAATAGAAGGAAGTTCCTCTTAGAAAGTCCTCCATGAAAGCATCGCTGTGTTTAGGTAGATCACTGTTATGTACTTTGCTGTATTCATGAAGCAGGCAAAGAGAAAGACACTTTAAAATCAAATTTTATATTTTGATAATTGAAAAATTTGTTCTTAAAATACTGTATTTGCTTGCATATTTTCTCTCTTTTCATAGTAATTTGATCATCTGAAAATCAAGGAGAAAATTATGTATATAATTTAATTTTCCAAAGGACACAGTTAAAGTAAGAGCATAACAAATGAAAAGTATTCATTGGTAAACTACAATAACAATCACAATATTACTTTTTTTAAAAGAAACTTGCATTCGAATAAGAATACAGAGTAATATTAATATTATACTCTATCTTCATTTCTGCTTTCTTGTGACTTGAATCTCGCTCATTCTTATTGTCCCTGCTTCTTCTTAAATCATCTGTGAATAATTAGAAAAGGTGAATTTGTATGTGACTGAACAAATTTATGGACTGAATGCGAGTTAGTGCTTGCTTTGCTGTGACTTTTCTTGTATTAGGCTGGCATAAAGTTCATCAATTAGAAGGGAGAGGCTTGTCATGACCTTTGCAGGTAAGATAAAAACAATCTGTAGGTGGACCAATCCATTTTAAAATTTAGGGGAGCTTCTTCTCTGAATGCATTAAGGAAGAGGGAAGTTATGCAAATAATTTTGAAATTTTCAGAACTTAGTGCTAAAAATGCGACTGGGGGGAGAATATGTAAGGAAATACATTAATTATTAAGTACTTAATTTCAATCATTGTAACTATTTTTTTTAGGTTGGAGATGAAAATGAGCATAAAACTTTGTCTCTGGAACTTGACATGATCCATTTGTCAATATTTTCACATCGTTTCATGAGTATTGCTGAGCAGATGGGAAAGTGAGTTGCCAAACTCATATTTTGTGTTTATTTGACTAATTAATGCTTTTAATTACAAATTTCATATTTCTATTTCAATGTTTACTTTTGTCTTTTTATTTAGAATTCTACAAAGGACATCTGTGTCTACAAATATTAAAGTAAGAAAAAATTAATAATTAAAGCACTGCTAAAAATTACATATATTATAACATTTCGCATACCAACTCCAAGAAACAGAAATTCAATTAACACCATAAATTATTGTAAGAAAACACATTTTTTAGTCAGTATTTTAATTAGTATTTTAAATTAAAATTTTCTGGACCTCTATTGCGGTAAAAACATAGAAGTCTGTAAAGAAAAATCCTTAATCTCAAAAATACAAAAATCAAAAGTAAAAATTTTATGTATTGAAAAATTTGTTATTTTCATTGATCACATATTAATTGATTTGTCAAGGGGAACAATCCAATCTGCTATCAATTAGCAACAACTAAATTAAGTGAGAGTGTTTTGTCCTTCCAAGCAAGGACAAAATTATTATTCTTATGCTAGAGCCAGATCCATAAATCACAAACAATACTCGATCAATAGAAAGACATTAGTCCATTGAAGCATTAATAACTTTCATAACCAAAATCAAATCAGTAAGATAATCTTTTAAATTTAAGTTGCTCATGAAGAACATAACGAAATCCTTACTTTAAAAGAAATATTCCTGGACATTCTCATTTTCAAACTCAAATTCAAAAAATAAAATCAATTAGACTTTGTTAATTGATAGTACATTGGTTTGTTACCCTTGGCAAGTCAATTAATCTGCAGCCAATGACAATAACTACCATTGACAAAAATCAAAAGTAAAAATTTTATGTATTGACATAAAATTTTTACTTTTCGCAATATGGTTCATTCATGGGTTACATTTCTAACTCATTTCTTTTAAAAAGAAGTTTTAGAGATATCCATTTGATATGATAGCTATATGCTTTTTCGTTTTCCATAATTGGGTATATGATTTATACCCCATTATGGATAATGAGGTATGAATCACTTTCTGAAATATGAGCAGTGTTTTATAAAAATATTTATTACCTGTGTGTCCGGATTATATTTATATGTAAAAGATTTTGAATCAGATGTAGAAGATGCTAAAGCTATAACTGCAATCATGACCAGTTAAACATGTCTTAATTCTGGAGAAAGCATTTTACATATAATAATAATAAACCCTCATCATGGTAGCAGAAGTCCATGGTTCAGATGATTTGAATGAGTTAGGAGTTATTTGTAAGGAATTAATGTGAAAAGATTTGTTTTAAAATAAGCAAAATAAGTAAAGTGGTTGTGAATGAAAATGAAGTAAGTTATATCAAGAAGTTAGAAACTTATTTTAAAAATCAAACAACAAAAATCAGCATTATATTTGCAAATTCTCCAGGACTAGTTTTTGATGGTTTAACTACCGAACCTCCTCAGCTATTGAAAGTGCAAATGAATGACATGGTAACAGGAAAGGAAAATTTAAAAGCTATGGAAAAGGAATCTGAAAAATTAAAATGGATTAAGAAAGGTCCCAAAGCTAAGAAATAAAAGTTCAGTGATGCATGTATTAAATTGCATATTAATTAACTCAAAATACATATTTAATAAACTGTTCTAAGATATTCTGACAAACAGAAGTATACTTTGCTGGAGGAATTTTTAAATATTAAATACCAAGAAGGAATGGATCTAGTTTTTTTATATTAGTAAGATAGAAAACTAGTAATGTAGGTTAAATTCTTTGAAAGAAAAAAATGATGAAAAGGTAATAAAGCTAAGAAATAAAAGTTCAGTGATGCATGTATTAAATTGCATATTAATTAACTCAAAATACATATTTAATAAACTGTTCTAAGAGATTCTGACAAACAAAAGTATACTTTGCTGGAGGATTTTTTAAATATTAAATACCAAGAAGGAATGGATATAGTTTTTTTATATTAGTAAGATAGAAAACTAGTAATGTAGGTTAAATTCTTTGAAAGAAAAAAATGATGAAAAGGTAATAATTTCTAAAATTTTGTTAACAAGGTTAGTAAATACAAGGATTTTATTAATGCTTGAGAATCACTGCAAACTAGTAACAAAACATTACCAATTTTAACAGTTAGATTAATTATGGGAAGACCTAGAAATAAAGCAGATTATATAAAAAAATTAGTGGCATTTAATGCTAAAGAAGAAAACATGTTTTAAATTAAAAAAATATTGGCCATATTGCTCGTTTTTGTAATAAAACAAAATCAACTGAAAGAAATGTAACATAATTGGACATATAGGTAATTCTTAAAGAAATTATTTTCCAGAAATAAGCAGTTGTAAAATATATGAGAAAATATTCATATAATGATAAAGATACAAGGGTTGATCAAATGAAAAGGTACGAAATGACGTAAACACGTAACAGTTAAATATTTGCATATTCCGCCATGGGAGAATGTAGCGAGACATCTCGGGATGCGATTGGAGTCTCTGACTGGGATCGAAGCATGTGAAGGTGCCGCATGCGCAGGAAAGAGCAGAGGCTCTTATCAAAAGCGACATCCAAATGATGCAGCAGTCCGTATGAGGACAGGATGGCGTTCGCGTTGCAAAATTCGACGACTGAGGAGCAGCGAGGTGTTATCCGATTTCTGGCAGCAGAAGGTGAGAAACCTGCAGCTATTCATCGCCGGATGGTGACAGTTTGTCTAAGCAATCTAAAGCATGTCATGTGTCACACAAAAGGCTGTATTGGTAGACCTTATGAATAAATTAGAATTTTATGTGCTGAGATCTCCATGAGCATTTTAGCAGTGATGCTCAAACAACTTTTTGCTATTTTATAAAGTATCTACCATTAAGCATTGCTACTTTGAGCCTTTCCTTTAATTATACCATTTGAAAATAATTAATAGTCATCTTGTGATGTTTAGAAAATAAGTTTAGCATTAACTTAGAACATAATGTTTTCATTTGTTAAAGTGTGCATATACTGATTTGGTAGACTTTGTATCTATAATTTTTTTAACATTATTAATTTATAATTATTATTTAGGAGAGGCTAGATTTTTCTTGTGCTCTTTTTGGTCCTGATGGAGGCTTAGTTTCGAATGCACCTCACATTCCTGTGCATTTAGGGGCAATGCAAGAAGCGGTGCAATTTCAGGTAAAACTGCAATTTTTTAAGTATCATTTGTGTTTTGACTACCATGAATGTAATTTATGTTTAAGGCATTATTTTCCCCAGTTTTTTCTTTTATAAATGCTTTGCTAGTGAACTTAAATTTTTATTTTTATAAATTTGACCTGCGTGACAGGTTTTCATATTTATAAGGCTAACAATCCTTGTACAGCCTTGCTATTTTTTATTTTATGGCAAAGAATATAAATAAAACTAGATTTTAAAAATTTTGATTATGTAATTTGAGAATATTGTGTGTGTATGGTGTGTTGTTTTTTATATATATATGTTGGGTATATGCTTAGTGATGATTACAAGATGTACACAAACATCGTTTATTCTACATTGCTCATCCACTATTCTATATTACAGTTATGATTAAAGATAATAATAGATGCAGTTACATATATAACATCTCCCTTTTTAATCAAAAATAATAATAATAGTAAAATTAAACATATTCTTTTAAATGATAAGGTTTCTTGACAGTTCTACTAGATCCAGTAACGTAGTTATGTCCATCTGAAAAATTTGATGATACTATAACTCTTTCACTATTTGGTGACGCAACACTTCTGTTAGGTTTTGAAGGACTAACAGGCACATCTAAATTTGTAGTGCTCCTGCTATTCTCAGGTATCTCGGGTTCATCTATAATTTCGTTATCATAGTTCTTTTGTATTCCAAACTCTTTCTGATTAGTTCCTTTAAGAAGGTCTCTTCTGTTCCTTTCTACAATTCTTCCATCTGTTCTTATAATCCTATATGAATATGGTCTTTCTGATTCTTCTATAATTTTCTCTCTTTCATTTAGTTTTTTCCCTTTCTCTTTTATGTAAACATGATCTCCTATTTTCATTGTTTTTAATGGTCTTGCATTTCTATCATAATAGCTTTTTTGTAAGGTTATTCTCTTCAGTAAATGTTGTTTATGGTCTTCATATTGTTTAGATTGGACGAAATTCTCTTTTATAGGCATCAATCCATTTACTTTTCTTCCAAACATCAATTCTGAAGGTGACTTAATTTCATCTGAAATAGGAGAGTTACGATATTCCAGTAATACTAAATATGGATCCTTGTTATCAACTACAGCTTTTTCTAACATTCGCTTGACCGTTTGAATATGTCTTTCAATCATTCCATTAGATTGTGGGTATTTGTTGTGGTATTAAGTTCTGGTTCAAAATTCCATCTTCTTGCAAAGTCTTTAAATTTCCTGCAATTACATTTGGACCATTTCCGAATATATTTTCGGAATACCATGTCTTGCAAAAATTGTTTCAATTGCTTTATCACTGCTACACTTGACAATTTCCAAGTCCAATTTCACATATTGCTAAAATAATCTATTAATTAGATAATCCCTTCCTTGAAAGTAAAAGAGATCTGTTCCCAATACTTCCCATGGACCATTAGGTATTTCTTTAGATATCATTGGTTCTTTAGTATTAGCTTTATGTAAACTTAAACATGTTTGACAATTCTTTACCAAATCTTCAATTTCTTTCGACATTATTGGCCAGTATAATATTTCTCTTGCTTTGATCTTGCATTTTACTGCTCCTAAATGACCATAATGAATTCTGCTTAACATATATTTTTCTAAACTTCTTGTTTATAACACAGGAATTATTTATTATAACACAGGAATATTTAAATATTAATCCATTTGCTTCTGATAGTTCTTCTCTGAAGTTAAAATATGGTTTTGCTATTTCTGGAACCATACATTTTTCATCTGGCCATCCAGTTTTAATTAATTTTCTTAAAACTTGTAGTTCTTCATCTTTTTCTGTTTCCAGTTGAAAAACTTCCATTTTACCATTAGACATTCGTATACATTCTACAACTAATCCAACATGAGCTTCTTTATCTCCTTCAAAGAATCAGATCCTTTATCAGTGAAGATCTTGATAATGCATCCGCTATAAAAGTTCTTTTCCTGGTTTATATTTTATCTCAACTGATATGGCTTTATCTTATACGCATTCTTGTAGTCTTACAGGGCATTTATTAATGGCTTTTTAAAAATTGATTCCAGTGGTTTATGATCACTTTCCACAGTAATATTTTTTCCAAATATCTATTGGTGAAATTTCTCTCACACGCAATACAATACGCTAAAGTTTCCTTTTCAATTTGAGCATAATTCTTCTGTGTATCTGTTAATGCCTTAGATGCATATGCCACTGGTAAATTATTCTGCAGTAAGACTGCTCCTAGTGCTTCTTGAGATGCATCTACAGATAAAACTACTGGCATCTTTATATCATAATACTGTAAAATTGGTTTATTTACTAAGACATCTTTTAGTCTTTTAAATGCTTTTTCATGTGTTGCATTCCAGTTCCAGATAATGACAAATCTCTTAAACATGATGTCAATTCTGATACATTAGGTATGAATCTAGAAACATATGTAATCATTCCTAGGAAGTTTCTAATTCTTTCACATTTTTTGGTGGTTTTATATCTAGAATGCCTTAATTTTGTCTTCATCTGGTTTTAAACCATCTTTAGAAAATATAGTCCCTATATTTCACTCATTCAGCCCAAATTTACATTTATTTTAAATTAAATTTAACATTCTTTTCTCTGGCTCTGCCAACAACTTCTTTAATCTTAAATCATATTCTTTTTTATCTTTACCCCAAACTAATAAGTCATCTATATATATATTTGAACTCCTTCTAAATGACTAAAAATTTCAGAAAAACTTCTGTGGAAAACTTCTGGTGATGAACGCAGTCCATATGGCAACCTCAAAAAACAATATCTTCCAAACAAAGTGTTAAATGTAGTAAATTCAGAACTTGAATCTGACAGCTTAATTTGCCAAAATGCTTTGTTCGCATCTAAAATACTAAAGACCTTTGCATTTGTCATTTGAGATGAAATTTCTTGAATGGTTTGGTATGTGATAATGTTCTCTCAGTATATTTGATTAAGGTGCTGAGGATCTAAACACACTTCTTAAATTACTATCCTTTTTCCTTACTACCACTAATAAATTCACGAAATTCTGTTGGTTGGTTAACTTTTTTTATAATACCATCTTTTTCCATTTCTTGCTAATTCCTTTTTTAATGGATTTAATAAACTAAGTGGAATGTTTTCCTACAGGGTTCTATTTTACCAATAGCTGCCTGGTTTTAATTTAATATGATATGTATATCCAGTTAAATTCCCAGTTCCTTTAAACAAATCTTGATATCCTTTTAAAAGTTTTGGTAACTTTTCATTAGAATCAGGATTTACTGTACAAATCCTTTGTATTAGGTTTAATTTTTGCAATGTAGGTAAACCTAAAAAAGCGGAAACAGTTTTATCACATGCTACGACTTGAAATTCTACTTCATCCTTGTCCCCTTTCGATGTTTCACATAATAATTTACATTTTCCAACTACATCAATTGTAGTACCATTGTAATTATTTAAAGGGACTTTTGATTTAGTCAAACATTTCTCTCTTAAATTTAATTGTTTAAATTTAGGCAATGGTAGCACATTACACTGAGCTCCAGTATCCAACTTAACAAATAAATATTTAGATATGTTTACTTTTAGTTTTTCAAACCATTCGGTTTTATTTTTAGAAGATGGATTTATATCTTCTACTGACCCTAAAATATATTCATTACCATTATTGTGTAACTCATGCTCTAAATTATTCTGTACAACATTAACATTTTAAAAGTGCACATTTTAGAAAAGTGATTTTTCTTTTTACAGTACAAGCAGAATCTTATTATAAGCAGGACAGTTTGTATAACTTATGAAAAGTTCCACATTTTCTACATGGTTTTGGATTAATGTACTTATTTCCTTGATAGTTTGAAGAAGTGATTTAGTACTTTGTTGCTTTTTGTTTTACATTGAAAGTTTTTTCTTACAAGGCTGACTTTTTTCCTCTGAAAAATGGTCGAATTTTATTACGTATTTGATCAGCTTCTAATTTTATTTTCGTTCAGTTAAAGTTTTCAGCTGAAGTTCTGCTAATTCAGAAGCTTTAACATACTTTAATACATTTCTCCATTCTTTCTCTTCATTTCCATTTTAATCATGTTAACTGATCTTCCCTTAATAATCCTGTCTTTGAAGATTTTTATTTAGAATTCCACTTACTATTCTATCCCTTATTAAACTATCTTTTAATTCTGCAAATCCACAGTTGCTACTTACTTATTTCTTTAAATCGGTTAAGAAATCATCAAACGATTCACCTACATGTTGTGTTCGAAAAAAATATATGTCTATCAACACTTTCGTTTGCTTTCGGTATGCAAAAATTTTCGAAAGCTTCAATTACTTTGTCAACATCCTTCTTATCTTCTTCACTTAAATTAAAAGTATTAAATTTTTCAAGTGCTTCTTCACCAATAATATGCAATAAAATAGCTACTTTAATTTCAGGTGATTTAGTAATACCACCAGACGCTAACATATAAATTTGGAATTCTGTTTCCATTTGCTCGTATTTAGAGACGAATTTTTCTCTCATACTTTCCTTGTATAATGAATTTCTCGTATGTAGAGGTGCTCGTATCTTGAGGTTCCACTGTACTTCACTACTAAGAACATTAAAAAACACAATGCAAAGTGCATCTGAAAAGAAAGCTAATCTCATGCTGAACTTGCAACAATACCTAAGCAGCTATACTTGGATGCTCTCTCTCCGGTCTTTTATAGTTTTTTTTTTTATATAACCGGTTGTGAGATATTTCTAGTACTTTCTGCTTCTCAAAATTACCTGAAAGCAATGAGATGTTGGAATTATGGTTACAGTTAATATAGTGGTCAATTACATTAATTCAGTTTCAATACAAATTTTCGAGATACCTGTTTACTCAATGTTAAAAGCACGCACCCCTGTATTCTTACTTTTCCAGCTGAGATTTCTCTTAAAATTTGTCTTGCGCTGCATTACACAGAAAAATACAATAATTTTACTTATAATTCTACTAAAATTATACAATCAAAAGTCGTTAATCCGGACTCATCGGGACTTCGGTGATTCCGGATTATCGATTTTTCCGGATTATATATCATCAGTTTAAATCTGGTAAAATGGCATGCAGAAATTATAAAATTAAAAATATGAAACCATAATTTATGAAATAAAGAACAATTATGATCTAAAGGATATCAAAATTTACAAAAAAAAGCTTAATATTTATTTGTTTACTTTATTAAACATTTCTTTCAATGTAAGTTGTTTAAGTTGCTTCATTTTTTATGTGATTACATTCTCTTTAATTCTATAAACAGACATAATTTCTTGTTCAGTTACAAAGTTCCGCTGTTCAAGTCCTAAAATTGCTGTGTCAAGAATACCGACTAATTTGTCAATCGAAATTTTTTCGTTTTCAATAACCTCTGTCACTTTCTTCGCTATCGGAAGTGAATTATAATGATGAGGCATTTGATTTAAATCCTATCAAAGACGGAGTACATCGAGATGAAATACTACATTGAGTAAGCAATTATAAGCCAAATAAAATAAAAACATCTGCCCTTAAGGTAAGGATAGTGCTGGCAGATCAACTTCCAATTCATTGCACGCCGCTGCGGTGTTAAAGATAAACAAAGTTTAGATAAACAAACGTTAAAGTTTAGATAAACAAAGGATATGCCTTTATCCATTTTTTGCAGCAATTCCACTTTTTGTTTAAGGGACTCCGAAAGATACTTTCGCTTTGTATATCCTTTACATATTAGTAAATATATATCGGAAATTCTATTTGACATAATCGAAAGTTCAAGCTCACTTTTGTAAAATTGCTCTAACAGTCTGCAAAAAATAATAATCCGGATCCAATTTGAAGATTAAGGAACAACGTAATCTGTAACATTAACTGAAATAGATAATTAGATAATTTTAGCTTAGCTTATCCCGTCCGTTATACTTTAAACGTGCATTCGTAAACGTATTTTGCGCATGCGCACACCCAAATTCGCAGCGGTAAAGGTCTTACGCACATGCGTCAACGCGACGCATGCGCAGAAAGTTTGTAGCTTTGAGGTCCGGATCATAGATCATTCCGGATTATGGGTGTCCGAAATAACGACTTTTGACTGTATATCTAAGTACAAAATTCATAATAATATGATGCAGTTGTTGACAGCTTTTCATTTGTATAAAAAATAGTTGGGGAAAAATTGAACTAATTTTTGCTTTTTTGGACAGATGTTAACTCCAGGAGTTATTGAACATATCCATGTGTATGGGATGGCATACATTAGTACTGATACAACACTTTTGTTTGTAAATTGTAAAATCAATAAAACAACCTAAATAGCTTTGCTATTTTTAGCACAGAAATTTAAAAAAGTAATTGCCACTTTTTGCATAAGTGGAAAAATATTGTATTTATTGTAACTTATTAGTTTTGTAGTTTCATATCAATCAGTGTTGATAAATTAAGAGCTAAATGTTAATTTTAACATAAAAATACTTTTCAAATTTCAAAGGGGATTATAATTGAACTGTAAATGTAACATTCTTATATTGAAATGCATGCTAGTAGCATGTTTGTCTGTTTTGTTTTTATTTTATCATTATTTATAATTCTTCACATTCAGCAATTGAATAGGAAATGGCTGTCATTTTTAACCTCCACTGTTTAAAAATGTTTATGATAAAAACCGTCCTAACAAACCTTGGGCAAGCTGCCGAGAGTTAAATATTTTTGCAAAAGAAAAAGCAAACATAAATTTCTGCAACACACTATTTCAGTAATCTCAGAAATGTGTATTCCTCACATTTAGGCAGGAATCTATTTGTGAGGAAATTTGTAGATTCCTTCTAGATGTGAAAAAAAACAGGCAACTATGCAGAACCTGTTTACACAGCTTTATAAGATACACTGTACTCATGTTTTTATAATATACAAAAAGCATGAAATAAAGAATTCAAAACAGATACATGTTAACATATGTGTACAATACATATGTATACATGTACATGTACATTTTCTCAAACTTCCATAGTAAGGTAAACCAGCAATCTTTGTGCATTCAAGAAGCTTGAAACAGAGAAGTTAAAGGAAGATATCTCTCGGTATGATAAACAAGAAACTCTTTATGCATTATATATTCCAGTTTTTTAATGAAAGATTGAGCATCATGCTGACAATAGCAACAAATATTTCTTACAGTTGCCAACTGGCTAATTTATTTTATGATTAACATTCACCAATTTGTCCATTGCTGTAGTTTCCAATATAATGGAACCTTGTGCCTGGCTAGATCTTGGCAAATCCATTGTCAGTTTACATGTGCCTTGAAATTGTTTCCATTATTTATGAATTGCATGCATACAAGGCACACAAAGCTTTTGTTGCAACCATTAGAAAATACTTTTAATTTAATTCCTATCATTGCTAGGGTTTTTTCTAGAAATAGAAATTGCTACTATTTTTCTGTTTATCAATTTTTTTTTAAAATTAAGAACATGGAATTTTTTATAGCTTTTTTGTCCATATTGCTTGATGTTAATTTAGTCATTAATTATGAATTAATTAAACTGATTATTTTATTCAATTAATAAATAATGATGGTGATTGTTCAGGTAATTTATGATGATATTAGCTAATGAATAAATGAATGCACTGAGTAAATTATTCTGTTATTCTTAAATAATATTTGAATAAATTAATCTGGAGTTTAATTAATTCTTTATGCTAGCATTTTTTGTGTAATTGCATATTTTATAGAACATGCATGTAATCACCTTTTTTTAATTAGATTTTGTGTGTTCCTTTTGAAAACATTTTATGAATATTTATTTAGTTGCTAGTGTTTATTATGCAACATAAATTAATTTTTATTTCATTTTTAGTCTTGGTATTTTGGTTTTGGTACAAACAATGTTTTAAATTTAATTTAATTTTTGCAGTTGAAATACTTAGGCGACAGTATTCATAATGGTGATGTTATTCTATCCAATCATCCATGTGCAGGCGGCAGTCATCTTCCAGATCTGACTGTTATCACACCAGTATGTACTTTAAATTAAAAAATACTTAAAAAAGCATGTATTGATTTTTATGAATACAAGAATTATTAGTTTAAGCTTATTAGTTTATAACAGCAATTCATAAAGCAGGGTATAACTGCTATTGCTATTCTGAAATGGTGTTGCTGTGGGATATTGTGCTATTGGTTTTCACTAGGTGGGAAATTTATATTATATGGAAATTTCTATATACGTATATGAACCTAAGTATAATTTCATGTTAAAAATGATTTCATAATTTTTAAGTTTCTTAAAATAAGAGCTTGTAAAACAAGATATGATAGTTTATTGTATTTTTGTGATTTATGAAATATAAGCGCTAGTTTATGTAGTATACATATGTAAGTACGTTAACTCAGATATTAAAGATATAAAAACGTAATAACTCAGATATTAAAGATATAAAAACGTAATAACTCAGATATTAAAGATTAAAGATATATATAAAGTAGATTTCTACAGAATAAACTATCTTTTCTATTCTATAAATTTCATTATGATGCTCAGTATTCTGCTATGCATTTAAAATATGTATGCCTAAAAACTGTTTGCCATATTTATTCACGTATTCTTCTCTCTCTCTCTTTTTTTTTTTTTTTTAAACCAATTTTACTGTATGAAAATTGTGAGGTAAATTAATTTCTAGTTTCGAAAAGTTTAAGCAGCAAATAGAAATGATGAGAATTCAAAATGCATACAAGCAAACTAGATGAAACTTGATGATGATATTTATTCTACCACTTCAGTGATCACCATGAAAACATACAGCCTCATGTTGTCGTCTATAAGCTACTTAGGTAGCAATTCCCGCTGATCATTTAAAGCAGTTCTAAGCCCTTCTAGGATTTGAGGAGGGGGATAGACAGCAATTCACCTCCTGAGAGCATCCCACACATGCTGAATGGGATAAAGGGTGGAGAATGTGCTGGCCGTTTCATTTGATTTCTTCAAGAAATTGGTGCATTAGGAAAGTAGTGTGAGGGAAGGCATTATCTCCAGTTGCATACGGATGAACAGTTCGATCCTGTATGTTGTCTCAGTACCTCTGAGCATTGAGAGTTGCATGTGAAAGCACATACAAGTCTGTGTGCCCATCTAAAGATACTTCTTCCCATGCAAGAATTTTATCTTCCTCACAAATATCCCTTGCCCATACGTTAGGCAGAAGATATCAATTGTTTGCTTCTCTCCATATGCAAAGATACTGAATGTTTGACTTCTAAATTAATACTGAGAATCATTCTGTAAAGCAGAGTGGGACTCATCAATAAACAGAACAGAGCTTCAATGATTTTAAGTCTAATCTATGGCTGTGTACCCAATTCATATACTTCCTTTGGTGGCGGAAGGTAAGTGAGACACATAAATGTCAGTTGCCTAGCATATAGAGTTAGCATTCTCCATCTTCTGCATTCTATCATGGCTGATGCTGCTCTTCCTGTAGAAGTAAGCGCGGGTCTAAGCTGAGATGGAGTTGCAATGATGTTGTCACACACACTACTGATCATCTTCAGAAGTGGTAGCTCTTGGCTTACTTTTTTTAAGCTTTCAAGAGACTGAACCAGTAGTTAGAAATTGGTTCCACAACCAACTTACCATGGTATGATCGAGATATAGCCATCTTACGGTGCCAGATTGTCAGTTACCTGCTTCAAATCAGCCTATGGCCTAAAGTAGTTTTGCTGGCAAATATTGCCTTGAAGTCATTTTTATGCTTGAAATTATTTAATATATCTATCATTCATTGAATAACAATTCAATATTAAACAGCAGGTTTTAACTGTATCATGTTCATGTAAAGTGATGGCAGTGCCACTCTTTTGCATAATGCAGCTACTAGATGCAGCTTACTTTTGTTTGTAACATATCCAAATTTCAAGACTTTCAAACTAATTGTAGCTGATTTTTTGCAGTTTTTCTATTTGTTGCCTATCTTTTATAAATCAGTGTAGATGGATAACATTTGATCTAGCTTGTGGTTATTGTTTGGCTATTCCCAATATAGAACAGTTACAAAGCATTGGAAGTATCATTTACAATGTATACAACTGATGAAATTATGAAAATTCAGGATTTGCCACTGACCTACATATCTGATGCATATTCATTTTATTTTACTTGTATGTAACTAACAGCACCAGTATATGAAAAGATGCAATTAAAATGTTCATAAAATCTATGAATTAAGCACAAAGATTTGTTTGGATATATCTAAATTTTATGTATAACTTGCATATATTGCAGTGTAAAAAGTATGCATAAATTTTTACAATTCCCCAGATACATTTTATATTTTTATGTTCAGGTTTTACATTTTGTTATACTGAAGGTCATTTGTAAATTGTACTTTTTGGTACTTCCCTTGATATCAGTTCTAGATAAAGATAAGAACTACAAGGCAAAAATTAAATTTTTATCAATTTTTTATTTTATTAATTTGAAACAGATAAATAGATTGTTTATCTGGTGTTAGAATATAGACTATTGTTGCTAAATTATATGAGAGTGATTGAAAACTGTCTTCATGTGTAGCTTAAATTTTGCAGTATATGCCTGTTTTCCACATATTCTCAAACCATTTGTAAGCAGCTTGTTTTAACTCATTTTTTTTAAATAAAATTCATGGCTTCAGTATATATTGTTGTTTTCTTCATATAATTTTCTCTACATTTGTATATATATATCAGCCATTATATTTATTACATAACTTTATATATTTCATTATTAGCCCAAAGGGCTATTAATCTCAAAATGGCATTTTGCATTGCTTCACTTTCTGCGTTGGTTCATTTTTCATATTGTTGCCACCAAATATTATTACCGTGTATTATATTTAAAGAAACTGAATAATGAAGAATCTGCATGAATGTTTCTTGCATTGTGAAAAAACAATGGTACCTGAGACATCCAATTTTGAATAATGTAGTCCTCTAACCAAACGTGGGCACTCGGAGGCCTGAATTTTGAATTTGTTTTATTATCTATTTCAGATTTTGTAAAACTTTATTAATTTTTCATTAACATTCGCAATGCTTTCAAAGCAAGCAGTGGCAGCATGATATTGAAAAAGGGCATTTTTATTTCCAGCGCACAAAACTGTATATCGGAAATAAAAGTCTCAAAGGTTTCACATTTTAACGGTCACCCAAAAGGCGTTAGCCCGAAAGGACTATTAATTTCAAAACAGCATTTTGTGTTGATTCACTTTTCACACTGTTGTGACCAATTATTGTTGTCATGTATATTTAAAGAAATTAAACAATGAAGAATTTGTATGAATGTTTCTTGCATTATGTAGAAACAACGGTACCTAGCGTCATCAAATTTTGAATAACAGGGTCCTCCAAGCAAACATGTTCACTTGGCAGCCCACATTTTGAATTTGTTTCATTATCTATATCAAATTTTTGTAATATTTTAACCAATTTTTAATTAGCAAACTCGATGATTTCAAAGCGAGCAATTTTATGTCGTTTAAGTATGAAGAACATAATATTTAATAAATAAAGGTAACACAAAAAACGTTAAAAAAGACGCCCTTTTTGGGTGTAATATAAATTCTTAAAGTTTTCAGATTTTCTTTTATTTAGTTTTTCTTTCTGTCCTTATGGTATGGTTGTGTCTGTTATTGCTGTGGCTAATCTCACTTGTCTGACCTCGTCAGAACAAACCCACAAAATTCACCATGGCAAGCATTATGACTCTTTCTTGCAAAAGCCTTGGCCACCATTTAGGTGACTGTAGAATTTTGCCCAACTTCTCCCCAATATTCAGGGAGAGCATCCTAGGGGATGAGTCTGAGGGTCTTACTTCCATCTTCCCATACCACCAAACCACATGAGAGGACTCTTAGCTCACCATATATTTAAAGTGGCTCTCCTTCCCAATGCCGCAAAGACACAATATGCTTACAAACATCTGCGACTTCGCCGGGATTCGAATCTGGGCCTTCGTTGCAGAAAGTCAGAGAAACTAACCACTATCCCATGGCTGTGTCTGATAATTTTTTTATTTCATTAATTGCCTATTAGAATTAATTTCTGCCATGATCATTTTAAACTAAAAACAAAGCAATAAAAAAAAAAAAAAAAAAAAAAAAAAGGTTTTTAGATTTTAAATTACGCTCACAGGGGCCTTTTTTTAACATTTTGTGTGTTACATCATGTTCTTAAACTATAAAATTCAATTCAACAGCAATATCGCAAAATAATTGTAAAATGAGCATATCTTGAGAATTTCCAATACACAGTCTCGCACACTGTAGATAAAAATGTCTTTTTTTATCATAGAATGTTGTCATTGCTCACTTTGAAATTGTTGAGTTTGTTAATTAAATATACGTTATGAGTAATAAAACAAATTCCTAATTTCAAATTTGATCCTTCCAGATGCCTATATTCACAGGAGGATTACGTTATTCAAAATTGGATGGCTCTAGGTACTGTTGCTTTATCACAGTGCGAGAAACATACATACATTTATGCAGATTTTTCATTATTTAATTTCTTTAAATATAACGCAGGACTGTAATATTTGATGGCAACAATTTGAAAAATGAAACCAAGCTTGTAGTGAATCGACGGCCAAAACAAAAATAATGGTCTTTCTGGGCAAATTGTCCCTTTGGACTGAAAATGGGAGAGAGAAAATAAAGGGAATAGTTTTATATTTTGCTTTAATTCTACCCGTATAATGATGATGAAAAATAACTGGAATGGCAGTACTTAACATGGGTACAACTGGTACTTAATATGAGAATTGCATATTCACAGATCGTGGCACTAGAGCTTGTTATCTTTGAATTTCCTGTGCCTCTTTAGCATGTGGCATCAGTTTGATTAGAGTAGTTTGTCCTCATACTGATTTGCATGACTCGTGTTCTTGCTCACATCATCCTGTGTCTTTTCTTAATGTGCAAATATAAAGAACAAAGTGTGTGTGAAATATTTTTTTACTGAGAAAAACTGCAGCTGAGGAAATTATTATGTTTTGGAAGACCTTTAAAGATGATGTTGTAAATAAACCAGAGTATGGAAATTGTTTTCCAGATTAAAACATAATTATATGTAAAAGACTGCTATTATTTGGACATCTGTTTGATGAACAGAAATGAAGAGTACATTAAAAAAGATGTGATTCTCTATTAATAGTTCACTAAAATATCATGACCAGAATTTTCCATTTAACAATTTTTAGGGAAGGACAACTTAATAATCATGTGTCATAATGTCATTTGATAATTGTGTGTTACTCACATAACTTCTCAGTCAGTGAGACTTTTTCAAATTCTGTGGGTAAAAAAAAACTCTCAAAAGGCAAATCATTAATATGGATATAAGAAAATTATTTACCTGCTTTTAACAATGTTCAGTGTCAATAGTTTCAGAATTTTGTATATTGCCACCTGTGGGCAAAATGGGAAAAGTGTATCAACGTTGGTGGAGAATGCTTTGAATGGAGACTAAAATATGAAAGCTTAAATAATTATATAATTGCTTAAAAATAATTCCGGTTATTTTTATATATCCATTGACACATGATAATGGCAAATGTTAGCTGGTTAATATTATGGCCCGCTATGTAAAATGCTATTGTTTGTAGTAATCAGCTTTCTGTTTTTTTAATGGTATATAGCAGGGTCGGCAGCCTTGTAGCTGTGGTTTGCCAGACCATTCTAACAGTATGATTCAAGGTGCAACACAAGGGAATAATTGAAACAATTTGATTCCCACCACAGTGCATGCAGAGTTAGGGAATAGAGGTCAGGAATACAGATTTAGAGTTTTATTATATATTAATTATGGAACATTTATTAGCATGAAAATAAATATAATTATCATATAAGTAAACATGTAAGTACAGTACAAAGTCTGTAATCCAGACGTCCATAATCTGGACCTCAAAGCTACAAACTTTCTGCGCATGCGTAGCTTTTCTGCATGTGCATATGCATTTACGCATGCACATAATACGTTTACGCATGCGCGTTTAATGTATAACGGACGGTATAAGCTAGGCTAAAATTATCCAATTATCTATTTCAGTTAATGTTGCAGATTGCGTTGTTCCTTAATCTTCTAATTGCTTATTATTTTTTGCAGACTGTTAGAGCAATTTTATAAAAAGTAAGCTTGAACTTTCGATTATGTCAAAAAGAGTTTCCGATTCTGGAGCTGCCAAAGAATCTACAAAGCGAGAGCATGTTTCGATGTCCATCAAACAAAAAGTGGAATTGCTCCAAAAAATGGACAAAGGCTTATCTGTCTCAAAATTATGCGAGAAGTATGGCATTGGAAAGTCCACTATATATGACACAAGAAAAAGGAACTTTTTGAATTTTTTGTAGAAGCATCTTAAACAACTTCCATTGAAAGAAATGTTAAATAAAGTAAACAAATAAATATTAAGTTTTTTTTGTAAATTTTGATACATTTTAGATCATAATTGTTCTTTACTTCATAAATTACGATTTCATATTTTTAATTGTATAATTTCTGCATGCTATCGTGCGAGATTTAAATTTATGATCTATAATCCGAAAAAACCCCTAACCCGGAATCGCCGAAGTCCCGACAAGTCCGAATTACCGACTTTGTACTGTAATACAAATATATAAGTAAACAAATATAAATGTAATATAAGATTCCTTCAGTATAGTTAAATTAAAAGTTTAATGAGAACCTTGTTGTTGGACTGAGTATCGCAATATCGGGTAAAATTTGTGACTTTCAGTTTGACACATGATTCTCAATGTTCAGTTGCTAATCAGCTTCTTTGTGAACTCAAAATAGTTTTCATATGAGAAAATATTTTTTCACAGAGATATGTAGATTTGCCTTTGGCAGCTGCTCAATCAGCAATTACAAAACTACGGTCAGTTTAGGTTTGGTTCCAATTGTTCGACCAAAAAATTTAACTTGTTTCTTACATCCAGTAACAGCTCTCTTTATAACACTCATGTTTTTTAATGGAATTCTGAAATGTGGACTAATGTTTAGTTTGAAGATGTCTTTTTAAACTTGATGTGCGACATACGACACTAACACACAAACACAGAGCATGATTCTTTTGTTGCACGAATCCAAATTCATGCATTCAAGAGTCTTGAAAACTACAAACATCAAACTTTCATTTTTTAGTGGCCATTTGGTTAAATGTTAAGGTATGAATTATCACAATAATTAAAAAGTACAAGTTTTCACAATAAAACCAAGAACATGTCGTAAAGTTAAAAGTAGCCTGTAGTGTTTGATGTGCATCAAACTAAATTCTACTTTCGACTGAAATCATACTCATGAATTGGCATGATGAACCCAGCCAAAAGGAGAGAAAGTGAATCAGGTGGAATGGCACAGAGAAGGTAAAGAGGGTGATCTAACTTTATCTTATAACTTTGTAGAGTGGTGTATATAATTATAGAGTACGTGTCATAGGTTGCCGATGCCTGGTATATAGAGTAATAATGTAAAATATGATTATACTTAACTGTATTTTTCAATGAAAATAATATATGTGTTAATGTATCATCATGGCATTTTAAAATGTTTTAGGTATTTTATGGTGAATTTAAGAAACCTGTATTTTTTGTCGCCTGCCGAGGCCATCATGCTGACATTGGTGGCCTGACTCCAGGGTCTATGCCTCCTCATTCAAGATCTTTACTTCAAGAAGGTGCAACATTTGTATCATTCAAACTTGTAAAAGATGGTGCATTTCAAGAAGAAGGTAAGCTACTTTAATAATGTTGTATTTCTTGATATCCATTTTATATTCATATTTTTTAAATTGAGTTGATTTTAAAGTAATTTTTTAATTATTATTGTTACAAATTTGGTATTTAAAAAGCTAATGTTAGTTCAATTATAAATTAAATGGTCTTATTTCTCACGCAGTGAGCGTGTGACGAATATTAAAAGAAAGCTAAGCCGGAAAATTGAAAATACAAGAGCGCGTGCATTAAATAAATAAATATCTCTTTTTGATTTCGAGAAAGTACTAGAAAATTCTAGCATGTGATTTTAAAAATCTTATAAAAGGAGAAAAACATCTCAGTTCATAGTAGTTGCTTAGTTTGTTGTTTAGAAAACTGCTCTTGTTGATTGTAGCGAATTCGCGGATTAGCTTTCTTTAGCTGTGTTGAATTAAGTTCTTTACAATGTTTGAGTAGATAAAAGATAACTACTGTGAGATTTTGTAATACTGCATGAATATTTGAGGAAATTTAAGCATATTTCATGTGATAATAATAAATTTTTGTTCATTTTTTATCGGACTTGTGCATTCATTTCAAACGAACCCGTACGCACGCAACATTATTTATTAATACTGAATAATTTAATGTGTATATTTTCATATATTATTACCAACAAATGTATTTTCATGTATTATTGATTTTAGTGCTTGAAGAGTCAAACTAATTATGACCACCTACTCAATAACACATTTGGCTTGCAAAACAGCTGCAGCTTGCCTTGGCATGGCTGGAGATAGATTGTACCAAATTTCTAAGCAGGGGTCGTGCAAAGTCAAGATATTCCAACATAATGGTGTCTGAACTCTTAAGTTGCCTCTCCATGACATCCCAAATGTGCTCTATCGGGTTAAGAGCCAGCGAGTTAAGTGGCCAGGACATTAATTGGGATTCATCTTTACGCTTCTCGAACCACTCCAACACAATTCAAAATTTGTGGTTGTCCTGCTAGAAGATTCCATTTCCAGTTGAAAGGACAGACACCATGTAAGGGTGCATCTGATTCACAATTATGTTCAGTTAGTCTGCAGCTTTCATGTTCTCTTTTACCACAACCATGGGTCCCAAATCTGCCTATAAAAATGTCCTTAAAAGCGTAATACTGCCGCCACCAGCAGCCTGTGTATGACCTGCTGTAGAGGGGGGAGCAATTGTTTGCCTGGGAGATGGCGTACCCTGATACAACGATCGATGTGATGAATGAGGAATTGTGATTCATCTGATCAAACGACTGTCTTTCACTTATCCATGGCCCAGTCTCGATGTTTCTGGGACGCATTGTAGGCACAGTTGACAGTGACACTTGGTCAATGGAGGCATACGAGTGAGACGTCTGCTGCACTGTCCCATATCCAACAATTTCTGCTGAACTGTGTGTTCTGAAACACTTGTACTGGGACCTGCATCGTACTGCAGTATAATACAATGCATGCCAACCCTGTGATGCTGATTTGCTGTACCAAGCGGTGCAGTCTCTGACGCTCGTTTTCTGTAATGATGTGTTGATGTCCAGCACCTTCGCATCTATTGCTGGTTTCACTGTCATTCATCCACTTTATGTAAATACAAACGCCAGATTGTGAACAACAAACCGGTCGTGCAGTTTGGGAGATACTCGTTCAGAGTCTTCTGGCCATTACAATCTGCCCTCTCTCAAATTCACTTAGATCAACAGCCTTTCCCATCACTCACAAAAATAAGTGCAAGAATGATTCCTTACCTACCCCAGCAACAGTCAAATGCCATTCCTACTTGATCATGTGCCCTACATATCATCCAGATAAGTTCATTGAAAATTGTGGGAATGGTCATATTGTTTTAGCTCATCAGTGTGTATGGAAATTTTTTAATAATTTTATACATTTAAGTTGAAATATTTTAGTGTTTATTTACTTGACTGTTGAAAATTACGAAAATACTTTTTTTTCTTAAAATTGTAATTTCTTAAGGTAGTGCTCAACATTCAGTATATTTGTTTTTTATGGTGATTCATACCTTCTGAAAAAAATCTGCTCAAGTCTATGAAAAGAAAATTTGTGTGGGCTGAAAAATGCATTAATATTTTTGTATATATTTGCATCATAAGTCTTCAAAAGCATATTATTTACCAATTCTGAAAATGAAAGTAACCATAGCAGCAGAGAAATTTATCACTTTTGTCTGTTTAACATATTTTTGAAATTTTACTTAGGAATAACAAAACTATGTTGTGATATCCATATTAATAGAGAGGAAAACTACTTCAGAAAGAAAGAGAAGAGATAACTTTTTAGATAAGGAATGAAAAATTGTACGTCTGGTACTTACAGCATAATAATGTCACTTTCTGATTATCCATACCCCCACCGAAGAGTTGACTTGTTGGTGATTTTGGATAATCTCTGACACTTAAATCCTAAAAATGAGAAGGAAAAAAAGAGGTGCTTGCTCTCTACATGTAGAAAGCTAAGTTTGAGAAATCACTGAAGACAAACTGCAATATGTGATCCAGTGCTATGCTGAAATTTTCATAGGAGCATCATAATCTGTAGTCGCATTGGCGAAAATGTCCAGAAAAGTAGAAAGCCATCTAGAGAGATTCTACATATATACATGGGAGAATACATTAATACTTTTTGGTGAATATGGTGTATTGCCATATCTTTTCCTAAAATGCTCTTTTTAAAGTTACAGTCACAGTTACAGAGCTAGGAGAATGTTTGCGATAATCTCCCCTTTTTTAGATTCAGAGATTTATATTTGAAGCTCAATAATTTCAAAGTCATAGGCTCATTTGTTGTTTCTTTTTCAAGAGACATCCAAATCTTGATTTTTGAATGACAACCTTATCATTTTTAGGACATTCAGAATCACTTGGAGCATTCGCGTAAAAAGTTAAACCACAGTCACTGGCCTTAACTCGGGATCATTCTTTAAAAGTTTGTTACTATCTTTAACTTCTAGCTGATAAAATTTCTGGACAGGTCTCAAATAAGTTTGATGTTTGGTCTTGACTTCTGCCATACATACTTTCTTTTCTGTCTTTACCAGGATACATTTTAACCACTTTGGTTAAGCACAAGTTGTTTCTTTTCATGTTGTCATCTTGAAGAAGGACAATATTGCATTCTTCCAAATTGTATATCTTTGTGGTCTTGTTATATTCTCTCATCTGTCCTAAATATTCAATTCTAAATCATTTTCTAAGCTGCTCTGTAAGTCTTTGTCATTTCTTAGCCTTGCATGAATTGATTAGATCTAAATCTGGAACTCCTGCATCTTTTTTTAATTGCAAGGAGTTAAGGATATAAGGTCATTGCTGTCATCTGATATGCAGATTAGGGGTTTATTATTCATGGTGTTTTCAGCATTGCAGAGTTCTGCGTCTATATCTTCACAATCTAGATGCGCATTTCCTAAAACACACCTAACTATGTTTTTTAACATGCCTATCAGATGCTCCCAAAAACACCCATCAGGGTGCCGATGGTGTTATGAATTTCCACGTAATTAAATACTCTTAAACAATGTGAATTCCTGCAATCTAGACCTGTTAATTCATTTTAGCTCGTTAGCCATACCCACTAAATTTACTTCATTGTCGGAAGAAATAATACTAGGCCAACCTCTTCTCACAATAACTCTCCTCAATGTTTGAACAAAACTAACCTCAGACAATGATGCTACTAGTTCAATATGAATAGCTCGATAAACAGCACAAGTGTAAACACTATTAAACAACTGGATCCAATTCTTAAATGCAGGGGACCACAAAGATCTACTTCTACGACTTCAAAAACTAAAGCATTTCGAACACAATCTTCTGGTAAACGTCCTGCAGATACATTCACAGTTTTTACATTGGACCTTTTACAGGAAGAGCATGTCTTTATTATTTTCTTGACTGTTTTCCATCTCTTCAGCATCCAATAGTCTTCTCACAACGGTGACATTAAATACTGTACACTGGCATGGCCCAGTTCTTGGTATTTCCACATAATTAAGTTTTTAACTACGTGGCAATCGGAAATTAATACTAGAAGTCTAAAATTTTCTTCATCTCATCTCATAAAAGCCTTCGTCTTTACTTTTAATAATTCTTATGAATTGGTAATTGTTGATAGAGACCTTAGTCTGTCTTCTTTTCAGAATAAAAAATCTTCTTATACTTCTTTTAAAATAATCTTTACTGGTTTACCAATTTCACTGCTGTTAATGACCCTTGGCTTTTCTCGAAAGGTTGTCTAATATTCTTGAAAAACCTATAAATCCATGCAGTAATTCTGATTAGTTTCTTGTATGAAGTTATTCGATAGAAGAAATCTGTTTTCTCTTCAACTTTTATCACACTAATTTTCTTGTTGGCTCTAAGTTTGTATAAAATTATCTTATCTAGATATTCATCAACATTTCAATTTCTTCCGATTTTAAAACTGCTTCTAACTCACTGTCAACAGATTTTAAAATATCAACCTTATATTTCAGCAGTTCTAAATTTTCTTTCAATTCATTTAAATTAATTTTATCATCAGAAAGATCAGACTCTATCTTATTTAGAATTTTAGCAACTGATGATCTGGATGTACCACATTTTTTTTTTTAAATAATTTCCTCACTCATCTTTTAGTGACTAAAAGTGTTTCAAAATATTCAATACTTAATCAATATATTGGATGAACACATTAGATTTTTTTAATAATAGCGAAATAATTTTACACCATCCCAGCAAGGAATGCCATATTTTCCCAAAATGTTGAATAAAGAAACGGAGAATACTCACATTGATCTTTCTTCTTCCATTTTCGGTAAGCAGATTCGTGAGTGATGAAAGTATCTTTGCTAAAATCTTTGATTCTTCTGTATGCACAAGAATTGAATATTTTGAAAGCATTTAAAAGAGAAATTAAAGTTATGAACACATTTTAAAGTTACAGTCACAGTTATGGAGACAGGAGAATGTTTGCAGTAATATCACAGTTTTTCATGGTTTTTTAGTGGGGTTGCAGATAATCAGAAAGAATCAAA